ATCTCCTTTGTGATGTACATAAGGTCTCAAAGGAGGACACGTTGGAAACCGATAAACTTTTATATGTAAAAGGTTAAACTATCAAACTTGGCAAATTGATCTCAAACTAAAGTTGGAGGTAAAAATAGAGGATACATAGCCGCTCGGAGATACCAAATTTATCTTCGAGTGTTGAAAAATAGTTCATGAATGAGCGCAGCGAACGAGTCAAATATTTTTCAACACCATTTCACTTTCGCTGCGAAAAGCACGATTTATTATGTAACCACAGCAACGGTGTTTTCACTTGTGACGATAACATGTTATTTTCACTTGTGAAGATATCATGTTTTCGTGCGAAAGCTCACTGGTGTTGATATAATAACTAAGATTTTCTCCACCGTGTGCCATTTTAGAAACTCGAAAAAAGGAACGAGAAGTTGACAAATGAGAAAAATATTCTCGATACTAAGGTACGTTACTTTAACTTTGCATAACTTGTACTTTCAAACAAATATTTCCAGTCTATTGTTTCACGAGGGCTTGTTTTAGACGAATTTTTTTTTTTTTTTTCTGTTATCAACAAAGATCTTTATTTTTAATATGGCGGACGACTGATGAGGCCCAAAGAGAGCAATATAATTTGAACTACCGTGGTCTACAGTTTTCACATATTTAATTTTGAAATCATTTTAAGTTCGTCGGATGTGGATAAAAGACGTGATGTCCTGTTCCTCTCGTCAAGCACAAAAGGTTTACGTGATTAAAATTGAGGCTTCGGATTAAATGGTTTTGTTAATTTCTTCTCTGTAGCCAAAAAAGTATCTTTCTGCCCATTGATATCGTTCGGTAAGGTGTGTTTGGGTTCTGCATTGACAGCAAGTTGACAAAAAGAAAAAACAACCGTTCTGCTTGTTTAGTTTCGATCATACCGACAAATGTAAACTTCACCAAAGCAACACACACGCGTTGGAATTAATTTCCAACAGCTTTACAGCTCTTTCGCTTGGTTTTTGCCACTATTTTCTTCCTTATTTTTAAACAAAGTTCATTTCAAAATATATTGTAGAAGATTATTCCTTTTCCAATGCTGTCCGCAGAAAAATTCTTTTTGACCTATGCTTGAACGTGAACTAAAAGATCGTCATGACTTTTTTGGTAGTTGCCAAGGTGACCAAGGTTAATATTCCCCCGGGCAAAAATAAATTCACTTTTTCATAGCTTTGTTTAAGAAATACCAAAAGAAAAGTTAAAGACATTATGTTCGTCATTATCACTAAAAATTGTGTGGAAATATTTTTTATTCTATCGTCTGACTGGATTTGATATTTTGAACCGTTTACAAAATATTAATTTCTCAACCTCATTAGTAATCATCAAGTTTAAGGTGATTCCTCACATTTGCATTGCGCATCCTTACTACGCATAATTTATGGCGTCACTAGCGCGCGCTCGTGCACGCGCACATTGAAAACATGGCGGATTTGCCTGGATTTTGAGTTCTGTCAGTTGAAAAATGGCTATAGCTCACTAACGAGTTCGGGCACCCCAATTTTTTTTCCGTTCGTTTTAATCAGCTAATCATTAGCTTTGCGTGAGAAAAGATTGATCTGATTTCTATTGCTGGAAATTGAAGAAATAAGGAAAATAGCAGCTGCACTGTAGTCATTTCTATTTTGTAGTTTGATAGCCGTGGCGAGCAGTTTGGTTCCAATATTTTAACAAAGATTCAGCTGTCTGTCAAAATCAAATTAAAAAGTTTATTTGTGTCCGATAGAAGTATTGATTGCAGTTTGAGGCGTGTTTTCATGAGTCTGGGCTCACAAAGAGTTTACAATAACTTGGAATGCGTTCTTGTAATAAGCATTCAATAATGCCAAAATGGGATATTTTCAATGCCTCACTGCTCCTTAACGAGCACGGGCACCCCCCATTTTTATTTTATAATTTAAGTTCTCATATGATAATTATTCAGTGGACAAAGTTTGAACAAAAATCTATTGACAGTTTTATTTCAGGGGAATTACCTTAAATAAAAGGAAATAGTGGAGGAGACGGTGTTTGGATGTCTGATCTTAATTATCATAGATGTTTAGGTTTTCATTTCTCCGTTTTCATCTTACTTTTAGTTTCGATTTGGAAGATATATAAAACACTCAAGACAGTGTTTAACCATATTTTCAAACACCTCGAGGTTCGTCAAAAATACTCTGCTGCTCGTCGTAATGTGGTCAAATACAGTCGTTCTCTCCTCTACACAGAGAGGATCTGAACAAAAAGACAATTTGGTCAACTTACTTGTCAAAATCCATGTCGTGTCCATGTAGCATGGTTTAGAAAAGTTCACTGAAGTAACTCATGATCACTGAGAGAAAAAACATGGCCCCGCATTTTAACTTGGGCTCGCGGCCCAACCAACAAACACATTTACATCACTGTGTAACTGACAAATACATACAAAGGTAAAGTTTTCGTTATATCTAACTTATATTTACAGCTCTTTGCTAACATAGATATTTTTTGTTTGAAAAGGTTAGTCATTTGATCAAATTCAACTGATATCAAAAGTCTACATGCCAAAACAAAACGGTTTTTTACCCAATTTGACACTTCCTTTTGTAGTAGTTTATTCAAACATTAGTTTAGCAGCTTGCACCTAACGCAATTATTTTCTTGAAAATAGGTCGTAAGAACAAGGTTTCATTTATGACTTTGAAAATCAATATATCATGATTCAAAAAATAAGAAGGCAAAAAAATGTCGCCTGTGAACCGCAGTCCCATAGCGAAATAAAATACATCAATTACTCTCCAATCAAACAAATTTATTGATAAATTTTCAAACGATTACAATACATTACCGCTTTGTTCTAAAATATCTCAGTAAGTGCCATGCACCGGTAAAGGGACAAATCCACACACAGCCTAAGTGAAAGGAGATTCTCAGTTTGTTCAGTAACATTGTGTAATATACAAGTGAATATATGAAATATCATATATTTGAACTAGGGATAAAGATATGAAGAAATGATTGATCATCGCAGTTATATACACAACTTAAGCAACTGTGAAATTAAAGCCTGAGAAAAATTCAGGCTTGAACGGCATTCGAACCCATGACATCTGCGATACTGGTGCAGTGGTCTACCAACTGAGCTATCAAGCCAACTGGAAGCTGGTCACGTTGTGAGTTCGTAATATACCCGTAGATGGTGAAGATACGAGTGAATATATGAAATATCATATATTTGAATGGAGGATAAAGATATGAAGACATGATTGATCATCGCACTTATGTACACAACTTAAGCAACTGTGAAATTAAAGCCTGAAAAACATTCAGGCTTGGACGGGATTCGAAACCACGACCTCTGCGATACCGATGCAGCGCTCTACCAACTCAGCTATCAAGCCAACTGGAAGCTGATCACGTTTTGAGTTCGTAATAAACCCGTGGATAGTGGAGGGACAAGTGAATATATGAAATATCATATATTTGAGCTGCGAGCTTTAATTTCACAGCTGCTTAAGTTGTGTATATAACTGAGATAATCAGTCTTGTCTTCATATTGTATAATATCTCTTAGCTTTCGGTATTCACCAAACTGACATTTTTTTTTTATTTGTACTGGAAAATATATCAAACCAAAAGCCAAAGCTAAGCGAAACAACAGCTACTTTGAATTCTACATGACTCATTTGCAACGTTTTGTCTCAGGTTTTTTAGTTTTGAAAAATAACTTGAAGTGGCTTACTAGTTTGAGGGACAAGCCGAAGAAAACAAAGAAACTAAATGGCTCTAAAACTGATTAAACTTAGAATAACAATTTAAAATCCTACGAGTGAATTGTCAGTCTCATGACATCAAAGATCTGCATTTGTGTATTTGGAGGAGTAATACAATTTATTCTCTTAGTAAGAAAACATTTGTTTTGTAGTCCAGCACTTAGAAGGCAAGAACACCACAGACTCCGCAGGAAATAAAACCCGTGTTGACTACTCACGAACAGCTCTAAGGGTAACATTTGGAGTTATCGCCTTGCTGGCGCTTTTAGGCAATGCATTGGTTGGTGCGGTTAATCTCCGATGTCGCAGAATGTTGAAGAACTCGTATAACTTGATGATTCTCTCCCTCGCCTTTACTGACATGTTCACAGGTAAGATGCATGTGATAAAAACAACTTGTAAAACGATAAAAATGCAAGCAAGATATACATTCCCAACCATATTTATTCTTTGTAATAATGGGTAAAAAGTTAATGGTAATGTTTTAAGAAATAGGTGTTGGGTCATTGGAAATATAATATTGGAATATTTTAGGTGTTAAAAAAATGTTGCCTTTCTTATCGTTGTTGATGTGTACGCAGGTGCTGCTTTTCCTAGGAACTAGTTCTTCCGCGAAATATGTGTAAATTACTTGACTGTTGTTACACTGGAAATAGTGCCATGTAATCTAACTATTTTGAATGTAGTATCTACTTAAATAATTTGTTAGCCGATTCTTGGTAGGATGCGTTGGTACATTCATGTTCTGCGAGCTCCGTTGCTGCACTACATGTTTTCGGTTCAACTGCGTTGTCCAGCAACTCGTTTGATTACTCCTGGGTGTCGATCGAGAAAATGAAATAAAAATTGAAATCTAGATTTTGGAAGCGCTCTTTTTGGAATTAGTCATGATTGATTGATTGATTGATTGATTGATTGATTGATTGATTGATTGTTGAATGGTGTATCAAAAGAACCGATGAATCCACTCTGGTCACAGATTTATCGGTTCCTTTGATGCACCATGATCCGAGTGATCTTCGATCTCTGATCCTGATCCAGTTCACCCCAAAGGAACGCACCCTAAGACATCTTCAAGAAGTTTTGGCAAATTATTAAATTAGTCCTTGGGGCGTTATTATTTTTTATTGTAGTTTAGTTTTGATATTTTGGGGCGTTTTTAACAAAACAATTATTCCAGCTCTCACTACGCGCCTCGTTGGCTCTCTACCATCTTATACCCAACGCGCGTTCGTGGAATAATCGTTAATTACACTGTTGTATTTCAGAAGGGAATTTTTTTTATATTTCTATCTTAATTCTGAGCATTATTCTATCGATAAGGATTAGTTATAAACTACATCATTCAGCTCTCGGCTGTGTTATCCTAAGGCTTACTATCCAGTAATGTCTGTAAAAAAAAACAACAAAATGTTCATAAATAACAGTTATGAAACGCTATTTGTTGTCATTTCAAGTTTTTTAGTTCTTTTTTGAATAATAAACCTTTTTGTAGAAATATTGAGGTCGAGATTTTCAAGAATTTTAAGAACATTCTACTGCCAAGTTTTGAAACTCAAGAACGTTTTTTTGATAAAATTTGTTTTTTGTGGAAATTGAATAACTTCTGGCACCACACGCTATGGCGGTTTTAAATTGATTGTCACGTAGAGCTGTAGTCTAGTAGTCTAATTGGTAAGTAATTGGTTTGGTTTTGGTTTTGAGACATGCATTCAATTGTAAACCTCTCCAAATAAACCAAACCCAACATCAAAGTCGGGTATTCATACTGGCCAATCGGAAAGGACAGAGACAATCCAGTGAACCAATCAAAACTCAAAGCAAAAACGTGTAGCGTACGCAAAGCGCGGGAAAACGTGTGCCAGCGAGTCACGATTGGTTTTGGTTTTACTTCTGATTAGCTGACAAAGTGGCGCGGAGACTGAAGCGGGGACATGCTGCAGCCCCCACAGCCATGTCCTTTTTAGCGAAAAAGCTCTTTCAGGAAATTCAGATAGCTTGAATTCGTGCGTCATGCAGCAGGAACAAAATGACCTCAACTTTCAATGTCGCATCGTGTGCACTACTCTTTCAAACTGTCCCCACTACAACATAGAAATGAAACAATATCCGCTTAATTCATATGCACCAGCTTGCGCACTTTCCCTACAACGTGCGTCGTGTGCGCAGGCTTGTCCCTGCTTCACGACCCCACAACATGTCCCTTAGCCTGTGCTAACCACAAGCAGTGGTACCTGGCTACCTTGTACCCGCCTTATGGTATCAAAACTTGCCTCAACGAATATACACTAGCAACGTATCTGCAATGCCAACAGTTCCTGCGGGAAAAAAGGAGTAGTCATTAGAAAGCATCGTGGAAAAGGTTCAGATCTATTTTCCTCATTCCAAACATTCAAAGCAAGTTTGTGCATAGACCTTTCTAAAAGTCCTTTCCAATAATTTTTCCCTGGCCTGTTGGTTTCGCCGTCTTACGTCGCTCGCGTTCGCGAGTTTGTCGCTCGAAGATTGCCCGCCTGCTTCGCTCGAGGAGGATGAATAAGCGAAGGAGAAAGCAAAGGTCGACTTGCGACGAGTATAGTTTGTGCATTACGTAAGGTAAAATGAGTTTCTCTGTACCACAGGCTATAGCTACACACAAGGGAAATGGTTTTGAACAGCAAGGAGGAAATGAGAGTATTACAATACTGATATAACTGCCGCATGTTGCTAAGTGGAAAGGAAGTCTACCGCTGCTTGCTTCCCAGCTTTAATTTTCGGCTTTACATTTCTCTCGTCGATAATTTACGTTTCTTATTTATACCAACTAGATGTAGTAAAGCGCCATGACGTCTTAGAAGTACCAGTGTTTTTGCTGAACATGGGAGTCTGTGAAAGCCCGTGTCGAACATGAGGGTTTAAAATGCTTGCCAAATATTCTCACCATAATTATTCCAGTTGGTGTAGCTTGTGTGGTTACTATACATAACCGTTGTTTTAGGAAAGCGCAACTCGTAAGCACAACCGCCGAAAGACACCAGGAGCCATCCATAATCCAGTGGGCAGCCACCATGACTCTTGGTTATGTAGAAGGCTCTTCCGCAACATCCTTGTAGATCGAAGGTGAGCAGCGGTTCGGTGAACAGATTGGTCCAGGGTGAGTGAGTTAGACGATCTCTAGAAAACCAGTTCACGTTGTTGGAATTAGTGGTGTTGAACACCAGGGAAAGAACTTCAGGTTTGGACGCATTATTGCTGTACAGTGCCACTCGCGCCTGAAACAAGAGAGAGTGATATATGTTAACTAGATGGCTTGGCTTGGCTTTGTCTTAAGAATTGCTTGAGTAGTTTGTCTACTAAACTCCAGGCGTCGAGTTTGTCAGTAAAGAAAGATATATCTTTGCACCAGCCCACCACATTTAAAACAGCCGGATGAGTGACAAATTTCTAGATCGATTGCGCTCTGTTGTAATTGAGTGGACTAGGCAACGCTGCCGAGTTCTACTCCGATTTGAAATCCGGATTCGGGTCGTGGGTGTTAATTGAGCCCCGCAAACCCTGTCTAAGACTCTCTAAACGATGGGACTTTTTTACCTAATATTGCGTTTGCTACCCAAGACATTTAGTGTTTGACCTTCTCGTCAAAAATGAAAATATGTATCACTGCGTTTAGATCAACATGACATGGAACCATTTACACGCAAAAACATGAAAGGTATTCAATTGTTTTAACTGATAGTGGTGCTTCATTAGAAAAAGAATCATTTAACAGGTTTATTGAAATAGGAGGACTTATTAGCCGAGAATAGGTATGTTTATTTCAAGAAAAGCTGTAACATGTGGCATTTATCTGACGGAATTAACTGATGCGTTATTAGAAGAAGGACTTAATACCAAAATTAAGAAATCGAATCATTAAGATACAGTGCAGTTACATGTATTCCATCATGACTCTACCTCATTAGGTTTCGCGGTTTGCCAGTTTTGCACAAAGCGGTTCTTGTAATGTCCTTTGACTGAGGAGTTGACGTTCAGTGCTTCTGTTTTGTTCTCGTTCAAAGAATCTGCTGACGTCCACAGTTGATAAATGTCAGCGGGGATACCAGATACCACCTTGAACACCATAGTCCAACCTGGTGACATGAAGAATTATCACTGATTACGAACTTAAATTGATGGTGATACTTTGCTACAAAAAAATGTCAAATGCTTAAACGCTTGCTCTGTAGCAGCTCTCGTAAGGTCCACATGAATGGCTCAATACCCTTTAAGGGAACTATAGACCAAACAACAGAAACAAAAAGTCCCTAGCCCCAAAACAATAACAGTTGCTACAATAATAAAACAATAGGAACTTACGAGAGTTGCTGCATCTCTGACCGTAACGGGCGTTTCTGTTTATACAGAAGAAGAGTTTAACGTGCAAAAATCTAAGTGTATTGTAAGCTTGAGATAGGGGGTATTTCTTTCTTGTAATTAGCACAAACTGTGTCCACGCGTAGAGAGTTTGAATTGCAGCATAATCAGCTATTCGCAAGGATTTAACCACTATGATGAAAAAGCCGAAAATCTTTCGGAACCCATAAGGGTAATTGAAACATGTTTCGTATTCTCTCGTTTTCTTACCTTAACTAGTGAAGTATCCGAAAATTGCCACGCCAATTTAAAACTCAACCAAGAAACCTTTTTCAATGAGTAACTGAATGGAATATATGTAGTTTTACCGATTTAATTTCCACTGGATAATAGATGAGAGAAAATTTTCAGGCCTCAACTGGAAAAGGAATTCGAATTGAAGAAAAGGAATTAGATACACTCTTGCGTTACTTTTTGAGTAAATACGACCTAAAAGCTAAAAAAAATTACATGCTCCAATTAAACTCACTTCCATCAATGTTAAAGAAAAAAGGGAAAATTCTAAAATAAAAAACAGTATTAAAAATCACATTTTCCTCCATTATTACTATTTTATTATTATTATTATGATTATTATTATTATTATGATTATTATTATTATTATGATTATTATTATTATTATTATTATTACTATTATTGTTAGTTTTATTTTTTTAGCGGTTCCATTTCTGTTACCTCCACCCCAGCTAGACTGATCACAATAGACATCAATAACTTCCGCCTGATTACTCCAGATCTGGTAGAAACCATCCTCGGTGAAACCAGCGTTCAACAGCTCCGCACAGCTCTTGTACCCTGAAGTGAAATGCAAACATAAGCTATATCGCTGACACAGAAAAAGCTCCTTGAATAATCATCAGCGATAATCCTCAATGATGATTAAATTTATGTAATCATCAGTTTTAAATCGTCATTAGATACAAATCTCAGGGTATATTGAGTATCCTGCCGTTTACTAATAAATCATAAAAGTTTTACAAAGAGGCAGCAAGAGGTTTTTACTATAGCTAGCAAATACTCTCGGAAGTCTCGTTTATGTCTTTTTTTTTTCACATGCAAAACATGACCTCCTGAAAGAATAGGCTAGTCCCATTCTCCTGAAGACATCACGTCCACCGATCAAGCTGTATTGCATCCAAATTGCACGGTCATCCTTTTTTATGCGAACGAGATTTCCTGAAAGATACCTGAATTCTTGAACATGTTGACCTACCTCTAAAACAACACAGCAATATTTCCAGTAACGTTAAAGGCTAAATAGGGAACGAACCCGGAAACCCTAAAGTCTACTTACTTTTGTCGTCAGTACAGTGTTTTCCTCCGAAACTAGAGGTGCAAGCGCATTTGAAATCGTAGTCTCCGTTAACTGGATAACAGGTCCCTCCGTTCTTGCATGGATGTAGCTCACAAGGGGCCTGGGAAGAGCCAATAGTATGTCAAATTACGTAGTGGCAAGATTTTACTAACATAAATCAACATGCATTGACATTGAAAATAGAAAGAGTGAGCACATTCAAATCAAAACATGATCTTTAATTTTAGGTTGGAAAATACTTGGAAAAAAAATGACAGTATAAGTATTGTTCAAAGGGCTTTTCATATTGATAGACACAACATACTGACATGGGGGATTGGTGAATTTTTAATTTCAAGCCNAAAAGAGAAGCAACCAAACAAAGAGTGTTGAAGTGATCGGCTAATTTCCCCAAAGGTCGCTTCAACAAACTAACTAAAGAAATAAATATAGATGAACTAAGCCTAGTGTAAAACCAAACTCACAAGCTGAGACCTATTACAATGAAGACAATCTGGCAAGAGACAAGTTATTACATGAGCAAATTTATTATAACTTTTATCAGTTATCACAAACACTGGAACAGCAGCTCAGTCCACGGAAGTAGATAGATAGATAACCTTTATTTTAAAACGATGAGTATTAAAGCTACATGAGCTTGTGGGGTCGTTTCTAATTAACTAATCGCTAAGTAGTCGGGTGAAAGCCGACTCCTGTCAAAGAACAGTCACGTGCAATGGGTAATACCGTAGAAACGTTATAAAGGCTTAACCTTCTTTCCACGATGTCGAAGTCAATGCCGAAAGAAAAAGATATGTCGAATATGTTAGCAAATGGTGTCATCTTTTCTACGTTCAAACATATAGACCCAGGCACCGTTCGCGGTGGGTTCACTCTAACAGATGGCGTAGTTAATGAGCGTTTATTTCGAAAACGGGTCGTTCCGCGGACTCAAAAAAGCAAAAGAATTAAATGATTTAGCGAAGGTCTTACTAGAATCAAACTAGATATCAAATGAGTTATCAATAAACAGAAAATGGGCAGTGCGTGTTACTACAGACGACAGAAGAACATTTTCGAAAGTTTAAGGTGCTCATTAAGACAAGGTGCCTCGTTATCAAACTCTAGTAAACGACAACAAACATGCCATGTTGGACTGCGTAAGTGGCTTACATCAGAGTGAAGATGAACGTAATTGTCATATTTACGTGACCTCTATCATGACTATTACATTTATAGTTTTTGCTCAAAAAGAGTACATTGTCAGCTGTTGTTTTTCTCTTGTGCCATTAGTTTAGTCGCTCTTGTGTGTTTATTATATTCGCATGTTATGCAGGAATGTTTGTTTGGTATCAAATAACGTGGTGTCAGATGAATGCAATGTATTGGACAAAGCATGTATACAACAAACGTGTGACGAATCAGAGTTGTCTTTACAACAAAATGATGTTGAAAAGGAAATAAAATATGCAGAACAATCCAGGTCTCATTATGCGATGGTTGTTTATTGTAATATCAACAATCGTGAGTGCGATGCGCGCAGCAGAAGAATACCTGAAAAAATAAACTAGAAAAGCTCTCACGTAAAAACAATGACATTGAAACAAATCCCGGGCCTCAGGACTATATATAGTATTGATCCTACTCTAACAATCAAGGCACCTTATGGTCAAGGTGATATTATGTATTTGGTGAAAATGCTGGAAAACAATGTGTTACTATGAGTTCAAGGATGAGATAAAGCTAATGACCTCAGTGTACAAATTATGGAGATGGTAATCAATTGTATTCAACACTCACAATGTACAGGGCAGGTATATTTAATGCAAACAGAATTACCGTCAATGATCGCTATGTCTGAGAAAAATTACCAGCTTAATTATCGTGAAAGTTACACTGGCAATCTACATCATTGTGATTCAGTAATTGAGGGATGTCAGTACACTACAATATTTCCAGACTACACACTCACTCGGTGGCAATTATGAACTCAGTGGAGGGCAGATTAATACATATGAAATAACTGCAGTCAACAGTGTGAGAGAAGAACACAACTGCTCTTGTAAACAATGTTATGCTGCAGAGCTTTATACAATGTGTTACTCAGTAGCAAAGACGTATGTGTCATTATTAAATACCAAAGTGACAGTGACCCCAATCTCCCCTAACACATGAGTGACGTCACAACTCAATGAACTTGAGTAGGAGTAACTTAAATTTCACTGTCATCTATCGGTCAGTTCAAATAAGCAGTGTTTTCATGATATACGATTACAGTTTCATGATGTTTCTTTGAGACACGCATCTATTAGCATGTACCTATTACACAAGCTATTTTTAGAATCGGTGCGCACCGCCAACGATCAACACTCGTGGTAGTGTTTTTCCTCAGGACTACAAAATTATATTCGTTTGAGTTACAAACATCGGTTATTGTATCAGAGTTAAATAATGTTAATTGAACCATGCTTTTCCGTCGTTAGTTTTCTGCAAAGTCAAACAACTTTTCTTCGTTGAAGTTGAACTTAAAGTTAAACTTTAATTTTATGTTATTTTCTTATGTAGAGTCACAAGAACTGCTTGCCCCACAACTAGTTCCAGAACTAATCGAAGCAGGGTCAAGAGTTTATATTAAAAAGGAAAGAACGAAAAAAAGTAATGATAATTTACAACAAAATTACAAAAGGTACAAGTTAAACGATAGAAACAACTACAGGTAACCGAAAACAAAGTAACAGTGTAACATGCGCATGCATAAGCGACTAGAATACTAGTCGTTTCAACCAAAACGTTCCGGCAACGCTTTCGATTTTGTCTTTGTCGTCATACTGTGTACATCTTCAAACGAGCACAGAACGAACTAGTTTGCCATTACCTTCTTCACAGGGCACAGGATCACAGAACATAGTTCAATAGCATGTCCAAATTTTAATTTGGCCACTGAATAGTAAATTGAAAACAAGGACGAGCAGTTTTTACCACAACGTTTCAACGATACACGGTTAACAAAAGAGATGGTAGGCAATAGGCCATTTCCGAGTTCCTTTTGGCTTTGTGTCAAGACGATTTTTCGTATGAAACCATTCATATGAAAATGTGTTTCGCACACAGGTTCATTTCCATGCAGATTAAACTCATCTTCAAATGAAAAGTTTTGCACGAGGACTCCCTTCAAATCAGAGACCCTAGGTAACTCGGAAATGGCCTATTGCATTTGTTTAATGCTATTATCTTCGCGGGAGTTATACTGACAATTACTCCCGCCTTTGTCATGGGAGACGAAAACTTTCCCGTCCCGGGAAACTTGGCGGGAGATGTTTTCTGTCATATACTTAGTTCCCAGTACTTCGTCTTCACCTTCGGTAAGATCTCTGTTGCTATAGTGATGCTACTGGTAATAGACCTCTGGTATGCAATAACTAGACCCGTCATGTGCAAAGTTACATTTAAGCGGCCGAGAGTCATTATGTACATTACAACCGTTTCCTTGGTTTGTTGTGCGCTTAACTGGTAAGTGTTGATCGAGAAGAAACTTGTCATCGAAAACGGAACTCCCTCTTGTGTTTGGATCACGCTTATTTAAAACAGGTTCTCCTCTCAGATTTTCACTGTCGTTTACGTAGCATTTACCTTTTTCATCCCATCGTTTATTTCTATGATAACCTTTTTTCACATGCATCGAGTGATGCGGAGGTCACGTGATCGTCTGGCCAGGAGCAACAACATGAAATCTTTTAAAAGCCTTTTGCATATGTGCGCTACAACAGGTTTGGTCCTGGCACTGTGCAGGATTCCAAACCAGTTTGTTTATGTGCTGTCAAAGTTCAACATCACGCAACTGGATACACCTCTCCATCACGCCACAGTTGTTTTAGCCATGTTGAATTCTTGTGTAAATCCTTGGATCTACGGAGCTACCAACCGTAATTACAGGAAAAAATTCACAAGAATTCTCTGTTTTTGGAAGAAAATGGAAGTTACACCAGAAAAGACAGACATTACAGAAAAGGAAAGAGGGACCAGACGTAGTCACGACGGAAGATTTAGTAAGACGGGGCATCAGCCGGAAGGGTCAAGGGTTGTGGACTACTCGGCATTTGTACGCGAAGGCTCCCAGGCAAAACCAGAGAATTACCAACAAGAAGGAAACGGAAATATTTCAATGACCGGAATAGCCCATGATGATGACGAATCCCAAATTTACACAGACCGAGACCAAAGTTAGGGGCTAGCATAAGATATTTGGGACTTTAAGATCTGGTACGGCTAGGCTGTAGTACGGCGGCAGATAGTGAAGATCACTTCCGGTGACGTCATGACGCGCGTACCAGTACGGCTTTCCCGCCGTAGCCTTACTTTCTACTACGGGAAAGTGCCTGGTTTTACGCACTCTTCAATACGTGAGTATGATCCTGCTTTTTACTTCTCATTTTAACGCTTTTTGCACTGTTTGAACAGCCTAGTTTGAAGATAAAGTTCTCAATCATAAAAATCAGTTCTAAGATCATTGTTTCTTTGTCATTATTGTTATTATTATTATTATTTGTACAAAAAATTTGAACGATTTTAACACCTGCCGCAAGAGGATCAATTCAGTCATATTAGTATCGGGCCGAACAGCCTTTTATAAGAAAGCTTCGTATGTTCTAATCTGAGCTATAATTGTTTGTTACTGTTCAAAATGCATTTTATCATAATCGAAAGTTTTGTATTTTTCGGGCTTATCACGTAATCGTTGTACGAACAACCTGTCCGTGTTGAAATCGAGCTTTTTTATATCAGGGTTTATATATATATTTTTTTTTGTGGTTGGAATTACAGGCGGTTCTATCAAGTTCTAAAAAGCAAATCTGAGTTCTGGGAGATGTAAGACGAATACAGGAGAAGGAAATCATTGTCATTAATCAAGCCTATTTCGTGTGAAAGTAGAATGATCTCTGGTTTCCTTGAAGGTAGTCATTTTTGTAAAGACACGTAGAGACTGCACATACCGTTGCCGTACAGCAAAATCTTAATCATTTGAGTTTGGCGGGTAAAACACCGTCGTTATTTTTCGTTCACACAGAAAGGATCTGACCAAAACGACAATTTCATCAACTCAAAATCCATAGTGTCAATGTAGAATGGTTTAGAAAAGCTCATTGAAGTAAAACACGGCCCCCATTTTAACTTGGGGCCGCAGCCCAAACAACAAAAACAGTTACATTATTGCGTACCCAGAAAATTCTCAAAACTGGCAAATGCAAGTTATCGGTATATCTAACTTATATTTACAGCTCTTTGTCGACATAAATATTTTCTTGTTTAAAAAGGTTAGCCATTCTATCAAAGCCNCGTTGTCAGCCTAGTCCATCACGGCCAAAGTAGCCGTAGTAGCACCTCGCCGTAGCGTATCTTAAAGTACCTTATTTGTTTACTCCGTACTGAGGAACTAACCAATAGAAACGTATTTTGGTTACGTAATTCATTTTTCCCTAAAAACTATGTTTCGAAAACGTACTTCCGTCGTAGTTTTTAGAGAGAAATGGTTATGAAGCCCAACAAACATCAAAGGGGCAAACAAAGATGCCAAGATTTATGTGGGAAGGTCCACGACCGCGCACAGTCTTTTGTTTTGCGCTCATTTACTATGCATGAATTACGTAACCAAAACGTATCCATTGGTTAGTTCCTCAGTACTGAGTAAACAACTATAGGGAAGATCTCTGTTTACAAACATCGTTTTTGTTATTTAAATGTCCCAAACGTTAAACAAAAGAATCCTTTGCTTTATCAGCCAATAGTTCTCTGGTTGGCATATTGATAGCAATAGGTGACGTCACTGATATCTTTGCTATTATGTTTTTGTGCACTGTCAAGGCCAAAAAATATAACTAGCTAAGTCGGGTTGTCGGGTTTCATAACCATTCCCCTGTACGCCGCATTGTTGCAGCTCATAACATTTCACTCATAAACTGCGAGCTCTATGCTGTTTATCACGAAATTCAAAAATAAAAGCGTTTTCTAATAAAGGAATATTTGAAAATAAAGTTACCTCCGAGCGCTTTATCATGATCATTCTTTGCTCAATGGGTCCTCAATGAATCGTTGTTGATACATGCAAATTTGAGCTTTTTTCGTTTATGTGTGTTTGCTTTCTTTATTGCATACAAATCCCATTCGTAGAATTGAATGAAAGTGAGCGGTGAATTAGTCCTCGACGCATTAGATCTACTGGGAATGAGAACAAATCTTTAAAATTGTATTTTTCACGAAGGTTTGTGCGTTGTGAAAAAAAAAATTGAATTTAAAAACAATTCCTTCCACTTGAAAATTAGTGACAGTTTGTTTTTTTTCTAATATCTTAATTTAATAAAATTTTCAGCATCTCGAGATGACAGTTTTATCAGGCTTTATTTGTAAAGACTAAATAAACGCCGAGAACTTGGTTCTCAAATCTCAAAAATATATTGCCTTTTTTAGTCTTATGATGCAGCTGCAAATTTATTGGAAAAGATTGAAGGACTTCAGCTTCTTTACAGACACTCCTTTTCGCAGCTGGGCACTAAGTTAAGCCATACGCAGAAAAAAGTCTCCCAATTTAACTTTGCATTAAACTTGTCTTCCGTGAAAGAACTTTCTCAGCCATCGTTATCAGTATACTTCCAATGTTTTCAGCAAAACTTACTTAAACGGTCCAATTAGAATAGGAATGGAAATCGCACAAAAATAAGTTGTTTCTTAATTTCAATAATTTTACCTCAAGCCCAGAAGATAAACTTTGCGGGGAATAAGATATATAATATAATTAACTCATCTGGGTTGCTATATGATTACTCAACCAACGAAAAAGACAAAACTAAACTTTTCGTCACCATGATGCACTTACCGTAAAGCTGTGGTGATGGAAGTCCAAGCTTGCATTGAACAATTCCGACAAAAAAAGTTTGTCAGTATCCAAAAGTTGACAGAGAAATTTCCCATTTGCATCTGGAACTAGTCTGAAATTCAGTGATCGGCATTGAGAAGACTCTGTACACGCTGCAATGCAATCCTGCTCACCATAAACTGTGCGAGATTCGATCGGTGTGGAATTAAGTTTGTGATGCGAAAACGAAAAAAAGTTGCCGTAAACTAGAATTCCATCAGCGACATCAATGACACCTTTGAAGCTCAAAGATTGAGCCACGTATAACGACATACAAAGGGAATAAATGATGACAACGAGCAAAAAAATTAATTTGGACAACATTATGATTCTAAATGTGAACAAAATCGACTTCTGATCGCATGAAGTTGTACCACTCACGCATTAACAAATGTTTAGTGCATGTCTGCAAATCTACACGCATCGCCCGGAACATAGAATATTAAACCTCAAAAAGTGATTATCATAATTTAAGAAACTGAAAATATTTAAAACCGTAATTTAAAACTGCGTCAGCAAAGTTTAATTCAAGCTGGTTGGTTGTTTGTATACACTCATGTTTCTTTTATAAGAATTTTTTTTTTCCGGCCGAAGCTGAATTAATGTTTTTATTTTTCTGCCGATTTTAGGCTGAAAATACTTTTGAGAATATTCTTTGATTATAGCGTATGACATTTCTGTTTTCGAATGTATTTGGTGTCTGGATGGTGAAGTGATTTGGAGCCACATATGATAACTTCTTGCAGAAATGTCATTATCATCGAACAAACGGCTAATGCTGTTTGGCTAGTTTTGCCGTTTAAAGGAAGAATTTTATACGGTCTAGTTTGGAACACATAATTGTATTTACAAAGTTTCAACACAAAATAATATTCGTGTCAAAATCTCAGCCTCGGGTTTATTTTAAATATATTCTTAAAATTTCACAAATTTCAGCGTCGATATTCTTATAAAATATGCTGATTCTTATAAGATTTAAGATTAAAGAAGATTATATAAAAGCGAGTATAGCTATTTTCCAAATTATTGCACCATCGGTTGCTAAGTTATTATCTATTATTTAAAAACGTTGCCATCTCGTAAGCATGAAGAAACTTTATCTTCGTTTTGTTCGATACGATAATTCAATTCAGTATAAAGTGAGGTAACGACTTTGTTTTCTGAGGGTAACAGTTGCTGGGTGTAAGAAAGAGATTTCCCATGTTGGAAAACAGTTTTTGGACAGGTGGAATTAGAAGCATTCCAAATTATATTGACTTTGACAAATGGTAATTTCAACTCTGTTAATTTAATTAACGTCTGTGTCGATGAACCTACAGTGGAACCCCAGTAAAATTTTATAAACTGAATAATTCACACATTTATCTCCCGTGAAAACAACACCCTGTTGTTATTATCTGGTAAATAAATGCTGTCGAAATTAAAGCTGGCTAATGACAAGAATAACTGACCTAACAGGTGCATGCCTTCTTCATACGCTGTACTTACCTGCCGTTTAGCACGCATATTGATACGAGAGTGAAAAATAAAAATAAAAATGCTATCATGGTATATTTTTATGGCTAATTTGTCCATTATGAGCTGAAAACGGAGAAGAAGAAAAGTTATGTGTAGATCGCTAGGGAGCCTAGTTTTCTTACTTAGTCCGTTCACTCCTTCGCTAGTAAGCAATTGCATTGCGTGCCGTAAACAAATAAACACGGCGTTGTTTCTAAAGTTGTAGCGGAATACTTCAGCCACGGGCCTTCTTCCCCCCCCCACCGTCAACATGACGTGTTTTATGACTCCATCCGTTCTTTATATAGTCATTTCTCCTATCACAAATTTTTAATGCTCTTGGCTTAGAAAGCTTTTTAACCCAAAATTAATGCACCATTACAAACTTGAGCAAATATTTAAATATTTCTTTGTGGTTGTTACCCACAAGTTTTCAATTGATGTTCAGTTTTTTAACTCTGGTTGTAAACTTTACTTGGATGTGCTCGGGTAAAACTGATAAGCTGAAAATAACTTTTCTGAGGATATTTAAAATGTCATTAATTTTAAGGAATAGAAATGGTGAAAAAGAAAAGAAATAAATACTTTATAAATATATATTTACAAGAGACGATGGTCACTTCATATTAATATTTCATTACATGAAAATCCCTCTGTAGAGCCATCAACCCAAGTTTTGTAGAAATGTCTTGTTAGATTTAATGAGTGCATCATTTTATTCTTCATCTAACTCTAATTTCTTTCTCTCATTTCAGTCATTTCTTAAAATTTAAGATTTCTCACAGACATGCATGCTTTAAGCCTTCTTTTTAATAGTTGCATAAATTGCTTCGTAGAGCAGAATTTAGACTTGTAGGCTTTTATATGCATACCGTAATTATAAACCCCCCCGGGTTATAGGCCCATCTACCCGTAAACCAAATATATACCCCCCGGATATAGGCCCTCCTGTAGCTTTCCTTGTTTCTAAATTCGTTTTATTATAATGTTTTTTAAAAGCTTAATTACCAGTAAATGAAAAACCTATTTCGATCAACATGTGCAGCTATAGCTCGTTTGGAAACGGTTTTTTATTTCGTTTATAAGCTCCCCACCCCCCGGTCCGAATATAAGCCCCTCCTTTTACAAGCCCATTCAAAACCCCTTACTAAGTAGTATAAGTCCAGGGCTTACTGCGAGCGGCAGTTTACGGTAGTCGTTTAATTGTTCATATGATCTTGGGTCATCATTCAGATCATTTCGTTGGATTCATAATCCCATTTTCATATCTATAAAAGTATTTAAGTAAGATTTTCAAGACAATCATAGAGTGCAAGTTAAATTCAATTCCATACGATAGGTTGTCCACTAGATCTCTTTTTTAAACGGCGGAGGAAAACCACGGAATAACCCACGAAACACCTTCACTGAGTGAATCGCCAGCTTTCCTATAGATCGTTTTCATGTGACGTCTAGTTACGTCATTTTCTAAAATCGACAACTAAAGAGCCACCAAATTTTTTATCCCCATCAGGCATAAGAGGGGGTAAATTTATATCTGTTTACAATGTTACAGCTCAATATATAGTGTGCTTCGTTTGAAAACCAGCGTATTTTGAATTTCAGAGTTATGGCGGTGCGTGGCGCAAAGCTACAGTCGCATTTGTCGAAAAATATATACCTATCTCATGATTTTTTATAGCTTTTTTAGAAGTTAGATCATTAGGAAAAGTGCTTATGTAAATGTTTGTTTGTTCAATTCAGATAATCAGTCGCCTAGATAGCCAAAGTAAGTTCCAGATGTTTACACTATTTTCCGGCCGCCATATTGGTGCACCACAGAGGTACTGGGCTCTGTAAATTTCTGCGAAACATTTCGACAAATATCTGCAGTCTGGGAAAACGCACAAACCTAAAACTTGGAGAAGTGTCTTCTCTATTTCCTATAAGATCACAATTTCTTGACTTTATCCACTGAATGGTTTTCGATTTATGGTCATTTATCTTTTTATTGCGTGACTGTGAAAGAGATCTATTGTAAACGAAATGTGTCCACCGAGTGTGCTTTTCGAACGACAGGTAATCAAGACAAGAAGTAAATATATATATAGCCCGGTAAAATGCCCCTGTTCTCATTATCTCTAAATTTAATTTTCAGTCAGTTCTTCTAAGGAGCTGCCAATGAATTACAATTTTCCCGCGCAATTTTACTGTCAGCGGTAAACTTGATTTGGATCATGTGATCAATGCCCGCCAAAACAGAATCGTTCTTCGAAGTTCGCTTCGAAGGAAACCTGCAATTGGTGTACTCGTGTTTTATGCTTTTATTTTCAGTTTTTATGACCTTTTATGAAAGAAATCCGTCTTTTCATATATCCCAGGTGAGTAAAGATGTTTTCTTGACAGAATAGGAACTCAAACAAATGCCTAAAGTTGTACATATTTCAGCTAATAAGAGGTCGTCGCTTTTGGCTGAGATGTCCATGATGTTGATAAGCTCAAAACGAGCTTTTAATTTCTTCAACGTTTTCGCCACTCTCGGTGTTATTATTACCCTATGGTGCCCAAGTTGTGTTAAGACATGCAATACGGAAACTGTAGGGAATTCTGCCTCTCGAGCAATAACGCCGAGATAGGCTAGGTGTGCATGTTCTTCAATGGGCACACTGTTTCGTGTGATGTTCTCACATCATGGTGCATGTACACGTATGATTAATCTTAAATGTTTTAAACTGTATTTAACTTAAGTTCAAGTCATATAAGCTTATAAGCTAATGTATACCGCATTTATCACTAATCATAACTTTCTGCCGTATTGTAAGTGAAATTTTGCGTATAAACTTAGTAATTGTTTCTTTATACCTGCATGTGGGCTTCCATGGTGAAGAAATATAAACTTAATTATAGCTGTATAATAAGACTAAGCTTATATGTAAGCATTTAGCAACAGTACATGTGATTAGATTGTAGAATACTACTTTTATTTTATGTACATGTTTGATACATTAATTCAATCCAGTTGAAGGAGTGTTTTTTTCATCAATCTCCTATAATTATATTGTGTTGCCTAGAAAATACAAGTATTCCTAACACCATATCCCTCCTGTGGAAGATGGTTAGGTTTCAACTCCTACCCCTCTGGAAGTTTTTTATTTACTTCGTACTTCCACTGAAAATTTTTGACTTAGAAAACCCCCTCCCCTATGTTTGTTGTAAGCTGGGCTAGCTCCTGTAGGTGACCATCTTTCGCTTACAATTGTAGTGGCCGCTAACCGGAACTATTATTATAAGCGGCCAGCTCCAGTTACAGACAGCTTTTTCTCGTCCTGAGGGTGTCTGCTTACTAGGGCGTCCACCATAATGTAGAATCAATATATTGTTAGTGATAAATTATCATGAAACTGCAAACAGAGATAAGCTCTAACTTTATGGGCAACTAAGCTCAAATGCAGGTTTTACCCTTAAGTTTACTCATGATACAGTGTACTGAAGGCCAAAGCCCAGGGATGTTTCACTGTTAGTGTTTTATTTTTTAGTATAAATGATGCCTGTTGTGCAACCTGATGAAGAAGAGGCTAGTGGAAGCAGTGCAGCGCCTAGCCCCTCTGTGGGTACACCATCTCCAACTAAGAGCAAGGTACAGAACTAATACCACAATGCCATGCTTCAAATAATAGTACAACTGCATGTATAGTAATAGAATTGGGGTAGATTTAAATGAATTGGTAGGTTAATGAACAATATTTTTCGACAGTCCGGCTCATCACCAAGACGTAGTGGCAGAAAGGTAAAACAGCGGATCTTATATGGTCACCAGCGTCTGCCTGGTGAAGTGCAATTGACACCACAGCAGTCTCAAGTTAAGAAGACAAAGAGAACCCCAGAGAGTGGCTCAGATGATGAGGAAGAAGAAACAGGAGAAGCTGGGTAATGAAAAAAATTGTAAATGGTCGACATCTTGTAAAACAGTGTATCAAGTGAGAATGAGGTTTTGCTACCTCACTGGTTTGCCTGTATTTGGTGTAACTTACAGAAAATATGCAGCATTTGTTTGTTGTATTATGATTACATACAGCCATGTAAAAATAAAATATTTTGATTTCGCTTCATTTGCTTTCTTTAGAGAACAGTCCTCTGTAAATAAATCAAGTGATGACAGCGACTTGGAAACTCCAGTTCAGGCTCCCACACCAGGAAGAGGAAGGAAAAGAGCTGCAGGAATATTTAAAGCCACTCCGGTACGTTTATGTGTATTCCCCTAGTATGATAACATATGACCTGCGACAAAAGAACACGATTTGTACCTGTTTTGGAAGTCCTGGAGTAAGAAAACAAAAGAAAAGTCTCAAAAAGAAAATTTGGTACCTGTACATGTACCTGAAAGTCATTGAATTAGACATTTCTGTCAATTGTTTGTAATTCTATAAATATTTTTCAGGTAGAGTAAACAAGTTGGAAGTGTTCTAGATGTATTTTAAGCTGTTCAGATCAGTATTCTGTAATTTTGTAAAAGAAATAGGAGTTCAAACAGTTCAAATTTGAACTTTCACACTGTGTGTGTTGGTAAAATGCATGTAATTTTAATATCAGTCTGCTTAAAATTAATAATTATCTATTAATAATTTATTTGTTGGTTTATTCTTTTTTGCAGGCAGCCAAAAAGGCTAAGTCTAAACAGCCTTCTGCTCGAAAGTCATCTCAAAAGAGATCAAGGAAGTCTAAAGAGGGTTCAGATGCAGACGAGAGTCAAGGAACCTTGTTTGACATTGTTAAAGCTGGAAGGGGAGCTCTCAGGGTATGTTGTATTGTGCAAGGCAGCTGTTAATAAAGACCAGTGAGAACTATACAATGGGTATCTGAGGCATACTGTTTTACATGAAGCGATTGAAGGCTGTTTTCAGGAGAAGTTGACTGACCTGAAGGTTATTATCGAAAAATTTAAATGTTTAATTAAATTCATGTCACTACCTGGTGTAAACGAGATGTTACAGTGGCTGTGCACAGAGGCACAGTAACTGCATCTACCAAATAGGTCCTTGTCAACGCTTGAAAATCCAAAATTAAATCGATGACGTGGGTGCTAATAAAATGAAATCGTTAATTGGCAGTCAAAAAATTTAATGCAGTTTTGTCCTTGTTCCAGGCTGTTGTTGATGACTGGATTGAGAGCTACAATTCAGACAGAGAAAATGCTATGGTGGACCTCATCCAGTTTTTTGTCCAGTGTTGTGGTTGCAAAGGTTTGTTTTGAATTCAAACAAGTTTTATCTTGGCGCTCTAGACGTGGCTTATTTCTGAGTTATTTCCATTAAACACAGGGGTATACTGTAAAAAGGTTACATAAAGCAGCATTATTAGAAGATGGAAATTTTTGGCCTGAAAATTATTAAAATGCAGCAGCAGCAGACAAGTTTAATTTCATTTTTATCTTTATAATTTAGCAGTTTCCTTTTTCTCCCTCCCTTTACAGGAACTGTAACTCCTAAAATGTTGGAGGAAGAAGAAAGTGTTAATGCAATCCGTCAACTCACAGAGCAATTTGATGAGGTCAGATCTTTTACGGAGAAATACACTTAAACTTGAGCGATAATCTGTTGTGCATACATGTGCATGCAGGCTCCAAGGAAGTTAGCAGGGCTGGACACTAACTTTTCAACTTACTAGCCAAGCATTGTGGTTGGCTACCTAATTACATGAAATTTTCGTGACACGTTTATTTCGTGATTTGGGGGTGCACATTTTTCACGACACTTAAATTAGGTGATTTTCCAAAAAAATGTATTTTGAATCACTTTAACTTTGCGTTTTTGAGTAATAAAAAATTTATTTCCTTGGCAATGTTATTTAAACATGTCTTTGAATTTAGTAAACTGACTCTATCGAAGGTACAATAACGTCAAAAGTAACAAAACACAATGGCGGTACTATATGTCAACAGTAACATAATGTATGTTTCTGATACTTACTTATTCGCATCACTTTAATTTTGCGACTTTTTCTTTAAATTGCGAAATTTGCAAAATTAACCTGTCGCAAAAATTTCAGGTAGGTCCAATAACAACAGAATTACTAGCAAGACCTGAAAGCACAACACAAGTGACTCTCTTTAATACATAATGTTGGTAATTATACTGTACTTAAACTAGTTTAAAAAAAGTTCCAGTTCCTGAAAAGACTTTAAGGACTCTGTTTTTCTCTGAGACTTCCCTGGAAAAATATCAAGATCCCCAAGACGTCACTGTAAAAACTGTGGAGACTTCTTCACAGACAGGCGCCGTAGAAATGTTTCAAAAGCAAAACAACTATCTGAACAATACTGTAAACTGTCGTTGGTGAAATTTGACTGCTAAAAACGGCTGGTTTAAATATCGAAAGAATTAAATCTTTCTCATCTAATTATTTCTGTAGTGGTAAGTTTGTAAGTATACATACAACAACAAATCACCCATGTATTGTTATGCTAAATGAAATGTTATCCCTTTACAGTTCGCACTGTTTTGCACATGAAAAAATGTCATAACAAAAAAGAGCATTGATGTGTGCTTTCAGAAAATGCTGTCTTGTTTGTCAAATGTTTCTTTCAACAAAAGTAACATGTTCAGTTCCCTGTTTNCATAACAAAAAAGAGCATTGATGTGTGCTTTCAGAAAATGCTGTCTTGTTTGTCAAATGTTTCTTTCAACAAAAGTAACATGTTCAGTTCCCTGTTTACCTACCACCCAGCAAAAAGTAGACAAACTTGAATTTGCATACATGTACGTGCTGTACAGCACATGCCTGGTACCATGATATGTCCACAATGAAACTCTGACCTTGTTTCCGAGAAAAGTGTAAATTTTGTGTTTGTCTTCCTTGAAGGAGACAGAAACTAGTTCAGCCAATTTCATTTTGTTGACCAGCCAAAGTGGCTAGAGGAAATCAACAACCTACTAGCCAAAACTAAATTTCTGTAGTCTGTGGCTAGTTGGCTACCGTTAGTGTTGAGCCCTGGTTAGCCACAGTGAAGTCTTCTTTTCCCCCTGATATGTACTGTACAAAGATGACCAACTTTCTGTTATATGCATCTTGATTTATATTCAAAATTACTTGTAAGTTCAAGGTTGCCACATTAAAACACCATGTATTTTCAGTGACTATGACAGTGGCACAGCTGACTAACATTTCTTTTATTCTTAACAGGACAGCCATGAATATCCTCTCATTATGACAGGTCAGCCGTACAAAAAGTTCAGGGTAAGTACTGTTCATTAGCTTCTGATGTTCAGATATTGTAAAATTTTGATAAGAAGCCTTCCCCCTTGAAAAACCCTTTCTACATATGTAGGAATTGAACCCCTACCCCCCCTATAGGCTTAGATGCAAAAATTCTAATAATAACAATAGTACCCTCTCTTGACTCCACCATCTTCCCCCCTGGACAAAACCATCACATGTAAGGTCTAAGGCCAGGGCATGAAAAATGTATTCATAACAGTTTATGGTAAATTGAGCTACCGTAGTCTACTTCCTTGTCGTTAAAACCACATACCAAGTGGAGTTTCTTTACAGTAGAATCTCAATATCTTGTACTTGGTTATCTCGAAGTCCTCTGTGTCTCAAACACAAATCATTTTCCCTTGGGAAGACTTTTTCATTTACTTAGTATATTCTATCTTGAACCCCCAACATCCCAAACTACACTTTTTGTTTCCCCTAAGAGTTTTAGACAGTGGGTTTCAACTGTTAGTATTTCAATATCTTGACTGTTTGCGTTGATGAAACTTTTCTATTAAACCTCTTACCAGGAGTTTTTGTGTTCTGTTATCAGGTGAACTTCGTAGACTTTGTAGATTCGCTGATTCAGCAGTGTCAACACAGCATAATCTATGACGAGTACATGTTGGACACATTGGTGTCCTGGTTGATCAGATTGTCTGACTCACAAGTCCGTGCCTTCAGACACACAAGCACACTAGCTGGTAAGAATTTAACTGTGGGCTGTGTACACTTGAAGGGAGTGTTTACAGCTAGTCATTGCAATGTTAGGAATAAGGAATCATGTGTACAGGCAACTGCAGTCTAGTGTTGATTGATACACTCGACCCTTGCTCAGCATCTTGATCGACACATAACATTTCGACATTTCGACATTTCAGTCAATACTCGGTCAACACTAGACTGAAACTCGATTGACACTTGATTGACAGTTGGTTGATAGATGGCTGAGTGTAGGCCAACTCATATGTATTGATCAAAACTCGATGGCATGTGTGTAAAATTTTGTCAACTTGCGAGTGACTGTCCTCTGAGTAGTTGATTGAGTGTTGACCAAGTATTGAACAAGATGTCGATTGAGTATCAATCCACACTTGACCACGGATGCCTATATTACACATGATCTGGTATAAGCTGGGTGG